TAGAAAAATAATAAAAATATATGAGTAAGTTTAGAGATTTTAGACTCACATGATATGGCAAAGGAGTTTAGCTTTATATTATTGGATGTGTAACAAATTAAAATTTTAATATATATCATGCTATATCATTGTAGGTTAAATTATGAAAAAAAGTTGTGAGTCTCAAATATTTTTCAAAATGAATATATACTTCTCTCCAGAGTTTAAATTAAACACTTAAAAAATCATATTTATTTTACAATTAAATTTTGTTAATGTTCTAGGTAAACTAAAATTTGAATTTAGTTTGTCCACCTTTTGGAGATGCTCGAAGGTACAACAAATACAACTAAAATTGGAGGATAAAATCAAGATTTTAAGTTCAAGTCATCATAAGAGGCTATTGAAAAATTGTATTGTCCTTAATTTCAAAGGTCTTGAGATTGATTGAGATATGCGCAAATGGTCTCGGCACTTGATTTACTAAAAAAAATAAAAATAAAAACAAAACAAAAAAAGAAAAGGTAAATTATGTTGATAGTCCCTATATTTTGATCATTGTAATTTCAATTGGCTCAATTTTGATAATTTATGACTTTGTCTTAATTTATTCCAATTGATTATTTTTCGTCAAAAACACGAATGACGTGATCAATTGTACCTGTCACGACCCAAACCTGGTGTAACAACCCTCACCACTGTTTACTGTTAAGCCATTGATTATTGTTAAACTGAGGCTAAATATGTTAATTGACTAACTGATTGAAAACTGAAGCCGAATTGATTGGGTATATTAGTTAAATTGCAACTCTATCTGTTTGCCTGCCAAATTATCTGTTCATGTCTTTGTGTTTAAACTGCTAATTGAAGGCCTTATCGGCGGCCGAATCTGAAATTGATTAATGTCTTAAGATCAGTAGAATTAATGTGATTTTATGGTGTATTGAATTGAACATTGTTTTGGTATGATTAAATTAGATTAAATTGTGTGATGTCATGAATTAGGCTAATTACCTTTTTGCCACCACTAGTGGGCCACTACCTAAGACTATAATTGAGCCTTATTACCTTCAAACAAAACATTTCCTCAGCCAATTTCGTTGTTGTTGCCGACTAGAGAGAGAGTATAGAGAGATAGCTTCATTTCATCTCAATTTGGCTTAAAGATTAAGGAAATTAAGGAGTGAATTGCAAAATTGAGCTTCCTTGCCTATAATTCAAGACTTAAAGTAGAAATTCATCTTCTCATTCTTGTGTTTAAATTGTTTCTTGCATGGTTTAGAGTAAAGTTGAAGACTAGAGCCAATTTATGGCTCAAATTGTTGTGTTGAAGCTTAATTGTTGCATGCATGTGTATATATATTGAAGTTATGAGGTTGTAGTTCATAATTCCTCACATGTATATCCATGTTTTGAGAGTAGACCATGATTTCATCTTGATTTTGTAAGAATTGGCTCATTAGAGCAAGTGTTAGAAGCTTTGAATTGGTTAAATTCATGCATGTTTGCATGTTCTTCATATTCATGAAATTTAGTTTCAATTTGGGCTCAATTGATCTTCCTTTGGGGCTTTGATTTTACATTTGAGCTTTGAATCATGTTAAACTTTGAGTTTTGGAATGTTTTTCTAGAAAATTGGCCCAAATAGTATGCTTTTGATGCATCTAAGTTGAATTTGAGCTTGAGGTTCAAATTTGGGAATTCCAGATTTTGAACTCACGCTCGAGTGGGGTGACTGGCGCTCGAGCGTGGAAATCGTGCTCCCAGCATTTTGTTCTGCTTTTAAGTCAGCTCGAGCAGGGTAATTTACGCTCGAGCGAGACCTTGTGTATTACGCTCGAGCGGGTGTCGAGCGCCCAATCGAGCGTGAATTTCACCTATCCAGCACTTTTGACTGTTTTGCAGAACGCTCGAGCGGAAACCTTTGTCTGCATGTTCGCTCGAGTGGAGTAACCTACGCTCGAGCGTGACCCCTATTTTCTGAAAATGCTTTTAAAGTGCGTCTTTGCATCCACATTTCATCCTAGGCATTCTTAGGCCTAGTTTAAGGCATCTTAATGAGGATATAGATGTAGAACCACACCGAGGCAAAGTAGGGACTAAGTCTTTGTTTCCCGAATGTGAACTTAGTGTGTGTTCATCTTGTAAACTGTGTAGGGTTGGCATCTGAGGACGCGCTCTAGCTCAATTGTAACCCAGAACTCTATGAGTAACAACTGTGTAAAGATATGTTCAAATATGATTACCTTCTGAACAATTGAACTATACTGTTTTCTGAAATGATACTGTTGCTGAATGAATGATGTCCTAATTGTGAACTGTATTGTGGCATCCTTAGCAACTACTGTTACTGTTACTGCTACTGTTATAGAGATCTCTGCCGGTTCCCATGTTTGGAACCATTACTGATGGCCTAAGACCTACTGTTTACTGTACTACTATGCTAATGGATGTACCACATATGACTGTAATGACTGAATAACTGATATACTGATTGAAATGATTGTTTTCAATACTGTAAGGACATTCATTCTTAACCTCTTTACGCACTATGTTATTCACTAGGCTTTAGCTCACTGTTTATATATATATATATATATGTAGGTGTACAGGCACCAGACCGGAGCTAGGAGCTAGGAGCGTGGGTTAGACTCCTTTTTTGTCAAGCCAACCACTGTGCCTCACTGCGAGGTTCTGAGCCTACCAAGCTATGGCTTAGGGGTGTTTTAATTTTCTCCCGTCTGTCTCTATATCTGTTTTGTAATAACCGTATAGACTGATAGCACTGTACTGTACTGTTTAATAGGGATTAGGTCCCTGTTCTGATTGACTGTAAATGTTGTACATATTGTTCTGTATTGTTCATATATATACGTATGAAAAATCTTTTTGCATACAGACTCATAACTCATTGGACATTGTTTATTTACTGTTTTGGCTTCCGCCATGCCCCTGTACTCTGTATTATTATCTGATTGTTAAGCAGGCCTTTGGTAATCTCGGATTACTGGCCGGTTACGGTGCTAAACTCATAGGGGCGTGTTTGGGTCGTGACACCTGGTACTTGGAGGTTTGGTGTTGCAACAAGATAATAATTAAAGTCATAACAAATTAATAGTGCAGCGGTGTAAAATAAAAACGCACTCAAAACTTTGTTTAATTATAACAAAAATACAAATCTTGGAGCTTCTATTCATTTATATTGCCAGTGCTGAACTATGACTACATAGTGCTTTGTATCTACCATACGCATTGGTCCTAACATGTCACCTGAAAGTGGTTAACAACTATAAGCACATAACAAAGTAAGAAATATTATACTGAGAGCATAAGGGTATAAAGTTCGCTATGGATAAATATTTAGGCTAAACAGAGATTTGTTTGGTAACAAAAATGCATAAATCATTTTAAATAACAGAGGCACAACGTAGAAATCATATAAGCAAATAATCATAACCACGGTATAGAACAGAAGAGAATAGATGTATGGACTCAAGAGGTGGCTTGTACGAATTCTAGAGGTGACTTCCACAATAATGTAGCACTTAGTTTCACACAACATTTTGCTACATACTAGAAATCAGAAGGTTAGTGAATCTATGACAACAAAAGGTCACTTAAAGTGACAATACAGAAGACCAATGGTTATTTAAGTCTCCTAAGACATAAGACTTCCGTGGTGGTACTCATAAAATAATTAGTCAAAAACACATTTAATAAACAATTTCATCCTTGGGTTTCCATTTTTAAGCAAATACGGTTCATGTAATAAATAATATACTTTTAAAAACTAATATGATTTGCAAAACATAATTTACATAAAACAATATATGATAGCTCAAAATATAATACAACACACCTCAACTTTGATCATTTACTCTCACTTCTGGCTTTGGCTCACTCTCTCATATACCCCTCGTTTGTTATTCTTATTATTTCATTATTATGCAACTCACCTATTTATAGGTGAGAAGACTCTTTACTATGCAGCACTGTGCAACACACAATGTGATACCACATGGCACCAAGTTTCCCATGAGGTTTCTTGAAGCACTATGCATAAGTTCTCTATATTCTACTACGGCCCAAAAATGTTGTAATTACATTTTTTTTAAAGATTAAGTAAATATTATTTAGGGTGTCACATTACCTATACAAAATATAAAATTAAGAGTAAAAATTGAATTAATTAATAGTGTATAGATCAAAATGACACAAATAACAAAATATAAAGGTTACTAAACCAAACACACCCTAAGGTGGTATTTGATAAAGTTAAAAACTGAAGACTAAAAATTTAGCTGAAAAGTTGTTTGATAAAAATTTAAGTACTGAACTAAAAATAAATTGTTTGATATGTTTAAGATTAAATTTACTATTTATTATTTTCAAATTGTATATTTTGATTTTTATATTGTGATAGTGGTGGTGATGGTAGTGGTGGCGGTAGTAATGATAGCCGTAAAGTTGATAGTGGTGGTGGTAGTAGTAGCGATGATAGTAGTAGTTAATGATGGTGGTGCTTATGGTAACAATGACAATGGTAATGGAGGTGGTGGTAGTAGTGGGAATGGCATGGTGGTGGTAGTAGTAGTGGTGGCGGTAGTAGTGGTGAGTTTATAATAGTATATATTACATGTAACACCACTGTATTGATATTTATGTTTAATGTTTATAAATTAAGTCATAATTAAGTAAATTTCATATATCTTAAAACTTTCATAAATTTTAACTTATATTTTAATAGTTACTTAAATTTTTAAATAATATCAATTATAATTATTAAATAGACTTAATTGATTACTATCGAATACAGTAATGTCTTATTTGACAATAGATTATTTTAATAATTTTTTAATTTTTTATAAAAAAATATAAAAAAAACCTTAGAACTTCCACTTCACCTATATCCCTGTCGGTCGGGCCTTGCAGCGGTACCATGGGCCCAGATGGACGTACCCTAGGCCCGATAACCAGCCCAATTCCAGTGGTTATTTGGTGTGGCGTGGGCTTGATAGTCCCGCTGGTCTCTCTTGTCCTGAATGCAAAACAGGCGATGGTTTCATTCAGTAGAGAGAGAGTGACTCATTCAGCAGCATGCCTCGCAAGTACAGAGACGAATCCAGTGATGAAGACGACGATAATGATGGTCATCGTTACAGTCATAACAAGAAAATTCCAGATCCAACAGTCGTCGAGATCGGAAGGAATCGAATGGAAGCTCTGATGATGAGGATGAGGATGATGATGATGATGATGGCAGGGTCAATTTAAAGAGACAAATTGGTATGCAAGATACAGTGATAAATAATAATAATAATAATAATAATAATAATAATAATAATGGGTATGCAAACAAGAGTTCTATTGAGGAGGAGGATGTGAACCTAGAGAGAGAAAAGGGCAGCCGAGATAGAGATAGAAAAGATAGGTATGAGCACGGTTCGGATGATGATGATGATGATGATGATGACGGGAGAGAAAGAGGTAGGCGAGATAGAGAGAGAGAGGATGAAAAGGGTTCTGATGAGGATGGCAAGGTAGTGAAAGCAAGAGGCAAGCCACATAGAGAGAGAAACAATAGGCATGAAATCGATTCCAGTGGAGATGATGGGAGGAGGGTAGAGAGGGAAACAGGAAAGAGAGATAGAAACAGACTGATGATAGGTATGAAAATGGGCATAGGTGGCAAGACGGGCATTCAGAGAGAGACAATGAAAGGGAGAGGAGGCAGAGGATTGAATTTCAAGATGGTGATGGTGGTGATGAAAAGGGGCATTAGAAAGAGAGAAGCTGAGGAGGTTCACACAAGTAAGGATGGTTGGCGTTCACGTCGAGATATGCAGGATGCGGATGATAGTAGGGATGGGCGGAACAAGCGGTCTGCACGTCAAAGGGATGGGGAAGTGGGTGATGATTATGAGAAAGATGGGAGGAGAAGTGGTACAAGGGTTGATGGGATAGAAATCACAGAAGAGAGAAGGAAGGGAATGAGGGTCGCCAAGATAGCGGGCGTTTGAATAAGGATAAGGATAAGGAGGGAGATGGGAAGGTGAATGAAGATTTAAAATTGCAAAAACAGTCAACATTGCAAGGAGGAAACTTGAATGGAGACTCGGCCAATTTAGGGAGAAGTGGAGGGGTGTACATACCGCCTTTCAAGCTGGCCCTGATGATGAAAGAGGTTTAGGACAAGAGCAGTGTTGAGTATCAGCGATTGACATGGGATGCTCTCAGGAAGAGTATAAATGGACTGGTCAATAAGGTGAATTCAACCTATAATTCCTGAACTTTTTGCAGAGAATTTGATCCGGGGAAGGGGTCTCTTTTGTCGGTTATGTATGAAGTCTCAAATGGCTTCTCCAGGTTTCACAGATGTTTTCACCGCATTGGTTGCTGTGGTAAATACTAAGTTCCCAGAAGTTGGTGATCTTTTGTGGAGGAGGATAATCTTACAGCTCAAGCGAGCTTACAAACGTAATTACAAGGTGTGAATTTGCTCTCCTTTTTGTTGTAACTTGCTATTTCACTAGTTTAGTAAGTTTTCTCATGCTTTGTTGGTATTTCTTATTGATAGCCCCAATTGTTAGCTGCTGTTAAATTCATAGCACATCTAGTGGACCAGCAAGTGTTTCATGAGCTTGTTGCCTTGGAGCTGCTCACGCTTCTGTTAGACAAACCTACGGATGACAGTGTTGAGGTAGCAGTTGGTTTCGTGACTGGATGTGGGTCAATACGTCAAGACCTTTGCCCCCGAGGGTTGCACGGTGAGTTTTCCCGCACGGTGAGTCCTCCATTAGTATTAGATGTTAAGAATTCACTGTGGTTTAAAATTATGGGTTTCTTTGTTTTGCATTATAATGCTGTTTTGAGCTGTTAGATGTTTTGATATATTCGTTGCTTTTCCTCCATTTTGGTGTAGTTTTGTTACACCCCAAAAGCTATCAATTATATTTAACATGAAGAAAGGCATATAACCATCCAAGAAGTAATAAAAAATTTCTTGTTTGTTTCAAATACATTTGTGAAATCATTGGTTCAATGGTAAAACCTTGACCTAATAACCCAAGTCATGAGTCATGGGGCAACCACTTTGTGCACTATGTCAAAAGTTAGGTGTGTACCTAATCTTTCCCCTCCCAAACACACATTATTATGTACTAATTGGGGAATTATTATTTTTTTTTATTTTTTTATTTTTCAAATACATATGTGAAATCATGTCTTCCCACCACCTAAAGCAACCATTATTATTATGATCTATGTGTATAATCTTTACTTTGGCCATTTGTGTTATGGTCGCTCTGCCATGGAAATTAATTGTGAATCTTTTGTTTAGAATGTGTCCCTTGTGAAATCTTTTGTTTAGAATATGTCCCTAGTGTGTTCTCAACGTGTCCTTGGCGTGTCCCCATGTTTTTCCAATTAAAAAGTGAAACATCATCTTAAATATCAAAATCCAACAAAAACATAAGACACCGTACAATCCAATAGTCACACCAGTTGGAGTCCAATTTTAACAATCCAATAGTCATTTCCCGCTGTTTGGATTATTCTGGCTACATCCGTATGATCAGAATTTGCAAATTACTTTATGAAAATTTGCAAATTACTTTTTGAAAATTTGCAAATTTTATTTGAAGATTAGAAGATAAATCACTGGCTAACATAAACAATTTCTTTCAGCTCTAGTTTCAAAAACTCAACAAGGAAAACTATGAAAATTGGAATATTCAAATGCAAGTCCTACTAGTCTCGCAAAATTTGTGGGAGTTAGTAGATCGAGGATATGTTGAGCTAGCTACTTTTGAAGATGAAGGGAAGTTAAATGAAACTCAGAAGACGGCGTTTAAAGATTCAAGGAAAAGAGATAAAAAAGCCTTGTACCTACTCTATCAGGGCATTGATGAGTCAAGTTTTGAGAAGATTTTAGCAGCAACAACCTCTAAAGAGACATGAAGCATTCTTCGCAATTCACACCGTGGAATTAAGAAGACGATTAGAGTTTGACTCTAGATGTTACGAGGTGAATTTGAGATGCTGCATATGAATGACAATGAGTCAATTATTGAGTACTTCAATAGAACATTGGCCATTGTTAATCAGATCAGAAGATATGGAGAGAAGATGGAATCTTTTCAGGTGATAGAGAAAATTTTACGATCACTCAGTCCCAAGTTCGAGCACGTGGTCGTAACAATAGAAGAGTTAGAGGATCTTAGTGCTATGACCAACGATGAGTTGATGGGTACACTGGAGATCCATGAACAAAGAATCAACAAGAAGACTCCCTCAAGTTCTCTGGAGCAAGCTCTTCAATCAAAGCTATCCTTTAGAGATAACAGAAACAAGCAAGGGGGGACATCACAGAGGCTGTAGTTACAATAACTGAAGTTTTGGTTTTAGAGGCAGATGTGGAAGAGGTTTGCTCCTAGAGGAAGAGAAGAGGAAGAGGAGGTGGTTTCAACAATCGGCCAGGAATTGACAAGAGCAATCTTCAGTGCTATCATTTCCACAAGTTCAGGCATCACAATAATGAATGCCGAAGTAGAGCAACAATAGAAGTTGGAGAGCAAGTAAAATTTTATCGAGCAGGAGACAAACAAAGCCGAACCTATAGTCTTGTTTGTCCATCATGGCGATGCTGAAAACCAAAACAATGTTTGGTATCTAGATTTCGAGGCCAGTAAGTGGTAAAAGAGAGGTGTTCGTCGAGCTTGACAAGACTATACAAGCACAAGTCTAATTTGGTGATTCCTTAAAAGCTCTAGTGAAAGGAAGAGGTAACATTTTGATCAAGCTCAATAATAGAGATCATGATTATATCTCCAATGTCTATTATGAACTTGTTATGATGAACACCATTTTGAGTATGGGACAACTCCCAGAGAAAGGATATGATATCAGCATGAAAGATTGTCATCTTACCATCAAAGGCAATCATGGTAATTTGATTGCTTAGGTGAGAAGGTCCTAGAATCGGATCTTTGCTTTGGACATCCAACATGATGTTGCCAATTGGTTGAGTGCCATCATCAAAGACAAAGACTGGCTATGGTACTTGAGGTTTGGACATCTCAACTTTGGAAGCTTGGAGTTATTGTCGAGCACGAATATGGTGAAAGGCCTCCTTCATGTTGCTCATATTAATGAAGATTGTGAAAGTTGCATTCTTGGCAAGCATCATAGAGCAAAGCTCTGCGAAAGAAGTAAATTGGAGAGCGTCAAAGCCGCTACAGCTAGTACACACCGATGTGTGTGCTCCATTGAATCCAATGTCAAATGGACAAAATAGATACTTCCTTACATTCATTGATGACTACAGCAGGAAGTCATGGGTGTGCTTTCTAAAATAACAAGTCAGAGTTGTTCACCATCTTCAAAGAATTCAAAGCTTTTGTTGAGAAACAAAGTGGCTACTATATCAAGATGTTGCGATCAGATCAAGGTGGAGAGTATACATTTGATGCTTTCGAGAATTTTTGCAAATAGCATGGAATTAAGCACGAAACAACACCATCCTATACACCACAATTGAATAGTGTTGTTGAAAGAAAGAATTGCACGATTTTGGATATGACAAGGAGCATGCTGAAAGGAAAGGGATTGCCCAAACAATTTTGGGTTGAAGCCATATCATGTGTTGTGTATCTACTGAATAGATGCCCAACCAGAAGCCTTCGCTCTACGACTCTAGAAGAGGCATGGAGTTCACACAGCCAAGTGTCAACCATCTCAAAGCATTTGGTTGTATTGCATACACAAAGATTCCAGAAGCAAGAAGAACTAAGTTTGATGACGAGGGATATAATGGCTTGGGTCAGTGTTTTGAAAAGCATGTCTAAGCGTGCGCCTAAGCTTGAGGCGAGGCGAGGTGTGGCGCGACGCATCTCTGCGCCTCATGCATAGCGAGGCGAGGCGATGTAGAGGAGGCGCAGGTAAGGCGATGAGGCATGCGCTTTATTCCGGGGCTCAAGGCGAGCGCCTTTTGCGCTTTGCGTTTCTTCCACTCCAACAGGCCATCTGGTTTATTGTGTGGATACCCACATGGAATAAAATCTCATTTAAAATATAAAATGATCAAAACGTGGGCCAAAAGAGCAAAAACATTAAAAAAAACCCTAGTGGAGAAGAAAAAGACAACGAGAAGATAACGACGAAGGTTCGACTCTTGTTCTCGTCTCCTCTGGTACGACTCTCTCTCTTCTCTCTGGTTCTTCTCTCTCTAACTCGTCCCCTTTTCTTCTGTTCTTTGATTCGACTCTTCTCTCTCTTCTTCTCTTCTCTGGTTCTTCTTTGCCTTTATTCTACTCTTTTTTTTTTTTGCTTTACTTTTTTAGTCTTCTTCTCTTCTTTTCTCCTCTTCTTCTTTTCTCTAGCTTCTCTAGTCTTCTTCTCTTCTCTCTCATTTCTGGTCTTTTTCTCTTTTTTTTTTTTTGCCTCTATTTGTTTTCTCCTCTGTTCTGCTTCTCTTCTTGTCTTCTCTGGTCTTTTTCTCTTGCTCTCTGTTTTTTTTCTCCTCTGTTCTTCTTCTCTGTGCTCTCTGTTTCTCCTCAGTTTTTTCCCCTCTTCTGTTCTGCTCTGTTTTTTTTCTCCTCTGTTTTTCTCTATTTTTTTCCCTGTCAGGAAAAAAAAATAAAAATAAAATGAACACTGAATCAGTGCTTATACTACATATATTTGTTATGTTAAAAAGTTTGCCTAATTTATAATTTTGCTTTGCTTTTTCTACGTGCGCCTCGCTTTGGTGAGGCGTGCGCCTGGCCTTGCGCCTCGCGTTTAAGCTATAGGACCTTATCGCCTCGATGCGCCTGGAGCCTTTTAAAACATTGGCTTGGGTTATACCTGGCCCTTTCATGTTGTTGGATTTGGGATCTGATACTCTTTATCGTCGTCTATACTCCTTCTTGTCTAGTTATTGTTGAGTTTGGAGTTGTTAGTTGTGTTGTGAACAGGTTGGTAGTTCTTTTTTCAAAGGAAATCATGTTTGTTTTCTTCAAGTTCGCTCGAGTGGTCTTTCCTACGCTCAAGCAGTCTTCTGCAGTCTACAAAACTTTTAGGAGGGGGTTCATGGTGCTCTCGAGTTGTGTTTTGGTCGCTCGAGCGGTCTCACTTATTTGTGTCAGACGCTCGAGCGGTGTTTTGGTCACTTAATCGGTTTGTGTGTATATCAGATCGGGGAGAAGGATTTTTCTCTTTCTCTTTAAAATATTTCTAAACCTAATTTCTTCACTCACTCTCTCTCTCTCTCTCTCTCTTTAGTTCTTGCTGAAAACCTTTCATACACCCTAATCCATTGATTTCACTACCATAGTGCTTTGGAGTAAAACGTAGAGCTCGGCGAGGGCTTCCATTTAATTTGAGTGGATGGCCGTTTCGTCGCTGGTAATTTTTGGGTTGTCTCTTCTTTGCTTCAAAAGGTAGGGATTTCTTTGCTCCCTTTTAATACCTCGTTATAGATATACATGTGGTATTTTTTATAGCTTTTAAAAACAAGTTTGTTAAGAAATTTTACAAAAAGCATGATAGGGGTTTAGGTTATGGATTTTGGGAGTTGGAATTGGATGAGTTGTGGGTGTTTCAGTTAATTGAGAGATAGCTGGGCATGTTCGTGTTGAGAGTGGGAAAAACTCTAATTTATCATTGTGGGCTTGATTAAACCTAAAGGGGTGAAGATGTGTAATAACCAAGTTATGTGTTAAAGAATTGGAATAGTGGTTTAGGCCTAGTTTGGCATAATCTAAAAAAGCCAAAAAGTCAAAAAGTCACTATCCTATTTAAGTG